AATCTGAGGCCAATGAGAAGTCTTTTTTGTTGGTTTGTGTCTTGGGAATAATATATACAATATATATACAATATATATATATATATATATATATATATATATATATATATATATATATATATATATATATATATATATATATATATATATATATATATATATATATATATATATATATATATATATATATGTATCTATATGTATATAATTTGATTTAAAAAGTCGGCCGTAACATCAATAAAAATAGTATGAGAGTTTTTTAAAAAGTTTATTTATTTAAAATCTATACGTTTCGGCTAGCATCTTAGCCATCATTCAGTGGTAATCAAGTTAACTATAAAAACTAAAACTAAATAAATAATATGTAAAAAATCTCATAAAAAAACAATAATAATAATAATAATAAAAAAAGCACTTACAATTTTTTATCCTAAAATATAACATATGAAAGGACACAACATTGTAAGTGTTTATTATTATTATTATTATTATTATTATTATTATTATTAGTATTTTTCTATGAAATTTCTTACATATTATTTATTTAGTTTTAATTTTTATAGTTAAATTGATTGCCACTGAATGATGGCTAAGATGCTAGCCGAAACGTATGAGTTTTAAATAAATAAATTTCTAAAAAACTCTCATACTATTTTTATTGATGTTACGCCCGACTTTTTAAATCAAATTAAATACATATATATACATATATATATATATATATATATATATATGTATATATATATATAAATAAAAATGTATATTGTATTTATTTATTTATTTATTTATATTTATATTATGTTCGTCCTCCTAAGAGACAATGGAAATAAAAACAAAACAAGAGTTTATTTTCCTCGTTACGAAGCTATTTTTAGTCCCATATTCAGGTTTTTTTCTCAAGTATAAATTATTAAGAAAATAATAAAAAATAAATTATATACATTTTAATTGTTTCTTAATGATTTGTATTCAATTACTTTATGTTTGAGAAGAAAATCCTAAAAATGGAATAGGTTCGAAACGTTACTAATGAACAATTTGTTTATTTTGTTGATTTCAATTTACTATTAGGAAGACGAGCATGATATAAAGATATATTAATACATATATATATATACACACACATATATATATATATATATATATATATATATATATATATATATATATATATATATATATATATATTTAGTTATATATATACAGAAATTTAGATTTTTTATTCGACGTTGAGACATATTCTTGAAATGTTAATTTGCAGCCAGAACAATAAATAATTGAACTATTAATTTAGTACGTTTCGACACGTTATGTGTGTCATCACTCAGTATGCTTTTACAATATCACTTCAGAAAAAAAACGACACAAAATACTAATCTAACATTATTTTAAAAGACACAAAATAATAAAATAAAATATTTGTTTTCTGAAATAATGTCAGTTTATTAATATTTTTATTGTGTCTTTTTACTGGTGCAAAATTAACATTTTCCATCCAATAAATAAACAAATTTAATCAATAAATGTCTTTATTGTAGTATACATTGTAGTAAACATTTTACTAATAATAAAAAACAAATATAAAATATTTATAAACATAGAGAAATATTATACATACCACCAGGACAAAAACACGCAAAAAAACACAGAAAATGTCCTTCTCGAATAGAGATACAAGTTTAATTTTTTAAAAAATTATTTTTTTGAGTGTTTTTGTCCTGGTGGTATGTATAATGTTTCTCTATGTTTATAATTATTTTATATTTGTTTTTTATTATTAGTAAAATGTTTCAAATTTATTGTAGTTGCTGAATGACGACACGCACTTGGTGTCGAAACGTATAAATAAAAGGTTTTAAATACTTTTTACATTTTTTATTTCGACGAAGGGGCTGCTAGTTACTCTTAAATATATATATATATATATATATATATATATATATATATCTATTATTTACCCTAGACACAAACCGGCTCACCATCACTAAAGCCTTTCACAAATCACATATACAATTCAATATTTATTATTATCGATAATCAATCATCATCTATGGACTATTACATAATACATCATATAAAATTTTAAAAATAAAATCATAACAATTTCTGCTAAAAAAAGCGCACACTGGTAAATGAGAATAAAATGCACCATCTTACACATATCGAATAATTTTACTTTGTTTTAAATATAAAAAAGCTAGCGACATTGTCAGACTCGTAGAATATAATATATACACCCGTATCTTGCTTTGATAAATGAATTTTAAATTAGAAGTAAATGTTATATGAGCCAATTCTGCAGTAACATAGCGTTGTTATGGCAACGATATCTTATACTTATTTCTTGGTACTAAAAACCGTAAAAATGCTATCTATTTGCTGTGCGATCAGGCGTATTTTACATATAAACAAACCAAGAAAGAATGTTACGATAACAGAATCTTCGATCGTGCATTCTTCTTTGCTGTGTTTATATGTAAAATACGCCTGATTGTACAGCAAATAGATAGACATTTTCACAGTTTTTAGTACCCACTCATACGAATATAGACCCGTAACATAGCTTTACCAGTTTTTTAACTTCCCAAAGGAGAAGTATATATTTTTATAAAAAAAATCCGATTTGCTAATTTTATGTTTTCTCGACGTTTCAAGCCACTCTGAATGGGACTCTATTTAAGAAAAAGGTGTGTGTGTGTATGTATGTGTGTTTGTTTGTGAACAGATTTTTCGCAGTAAACCGACGTTTTCAAAAACGGCTGGATCGATTTCAAAAATTTAAAAGCCATTCGATGAGGACTATCGTTTGTCACTTTTGTGCGGCGATCTGCCGAGCCGTTTCTTTGTAATTTGCAAAAAAGTGAAAAATATTTCGTTCACGTTTTAGCTCACAATCCTGAATCGATTTTAAAAATTCAAAAGCTGTTCAAAAGATATTGGTTGGGAATGATAGTGATTAGTTTTAGGTAAAGATCGGCCGGGCCGTTTCTTTGTAATTAACTGTTGAAAAAAATTTAAGCCAATTTTCATGGAACTTTGGTGATATTATATATCAAGGTCTTATAGAACATACTGAAACATTACAGCCCTACAGCAAGTAGTTTAATTTAAAAAATTCATCAAAGTTTGAAAAAATATTATAGTCAAAATTTTTGTGCCAAAAATTTGCTTTTGTGATGTGATGAGTCAAATACTATCAATTCATTAAAATTTAAAATATTTAAGACAAACAATTACTATCTGTGTCTGTGCAATATAATTACTATAATTACAGTTAATTTATATGTGTGTGAGAAAATTTTACTGGAAATCGCAATGTTTAGATTTAATTTAATTTAATTTCGGAATAAACAGTTGACTAATTTTATCTAAATATCTAAATCTCCATTTCGGTTGATTAAGTCAATTCTTAACTTGCCTTAAGGCTAAATGCCACTTTCAACTAGTTTAGAATGCAACCACGACGCAAAGCGAGATACAGGTGTATATTATCCAATACAAAAGTTATAGCAATAATATCAATCCATTAATATTTAATACTGTTACACATTTTAATATTATTGATATGCGTTTCATTGTAATAGACACGTAGACACTTACATCTCACGTACATAGACATTCTATTCTGGTAATAAATTAATTAATAATAATAATAATAATAACAATGATAATAGTAATATGGTATGCGTAGTAAAATGATTATTCATGTTTTGTTTTAAATTTTGTTCTAAAATATTTCTTTATCCTAATTGACTATAATGGTAACGCTTTTTGGAACCTAATTTTTTTTTCTTTATATGTAACATAATTTTAATATCATATTATGCAATGTAAACATTAGCTATATAATAATTGGTTGTATGTAATGGTTTAGGAATGGATATATATATATATATATATATATATATATATATATATATATAAATAATTATAATTAATTTAAAAAATAAATTTAAAAATAAATAAATAGCATAAACTTCACACTCGTTTTTTATGTAACCAACTTCATTCTTATTGATGTTGGCAATTCTGCATTTTTCAAACTAATGAACAAATAATAATTATAATCAAAACTGTTGCTTTAAAAAATCTAATTTCAAAGTTATTATTATTAATATTAAACATTGTGAATTAGATATCTGGAATACAAAGTAACCAAAATATTATTAACCAAAAAAATCGCCTAAACCAACTAATTGAAATGTTTGAAAAAAAAAGATTAATGTAGAATTTGACATTTCTTCACCTGTATCATATAGTCAAAAAAATTATAGCAACTTTAGTTACTGATTAATTAAATTACAATTATTGACAGTTTTAGTGTTTATACTTGCAATAATGATATTAATTAGTAATTAATGAGCTTATTCTTCAAATTGTTTATATCCAAAGACATAAAATAATATATCGAAAGGTTTGATTTACAATTTTTTCCTTTTTTACTTTACTATATATATATATATATATATATATATATATATATATATGTGTGTATATATCCATTTTTATCCTTTATCCATTACATTACCCGATTCAAAAAATATCCCTAACAGAGTTGCAATATACACATATATAAAATTATCACCTACGATTACAATATAATAAATTAGGCCTAGAGTATTTTTCATTAAGTTACACTTGACTAAAATTAATTAATTATTAAATATATTTAATATATATACAATTTTTGTACAAAATATATAATTACACAAGCGCACACACACACCACATATAATATAATAGTAGTAGTAGTAGTAGTAGTAGTAGGTAGTATGTCTAATTCAGACTTATATTTGAAATAAATAAATATATAAAACAATTTGTCTTAATATCAAAATATTAAAATGATGAGAAAAATATTAGATTGATTTTTGTTAAATCAATTTTATAAAGTAAACTGCGATTGATGAATATACTCATTATAAATCGATCAAAAATGAGTTGAAAAAGTTATCAACTCTGTTTAGTTTCTATCAATTTAGCTGCAATGTCGTATAAATAAATACCTGATATCCAAGTCTTCGATCTGCTTCTCATTTTAATAGAATACTATTAAAATAAAACACGTATATAAAATTTCAGTTCCTATTGCACATTCTTTCTGCCTCCTCTCGGTTTGATGCTCTCCGATATCTGCCACATTGCCTCTTCGTTTAAATAGTCATCAAAGTTGCTAAAGTAGGCTATTATGCGTTCATTCTTTTTGAAGCCATAGGAACTATAGAGAAAAAATATAAAGTAAGTGTTTTTCCTTAAGGCAGGTGTAGAAATTTGCAGTAAATGGTTGAATATCAAAATAATAATAATGAAATCCAAACATTAGAACATTTAGTTTAAATTTATTTATATAGTATTATGTTATTATATTATTTGGTGAATTTAGGACTTGAATTTGACAATATTATATATTTTACTTTTAATTAACTTCCAATAGGGTAGGTAACAGTATTCGCAAAAAAATCGAAAATGAAAATTTGTTATATATCTTTACGTTTCAGAGGTTTCTGAACATTTTGACGTACCTTAGAAAAGATGGATGTGTGTGTGTGCGTGTGCGGATACAAATTTTCGTCAACGATTTCGGAAACACGGATCAACCGATTTGAATGAATCAAAAATCATTCGGTTCGTACTCGTTCGCGAGGCGTTTTTGCAAAAGGCGCGTCTAGCCGTTTCGGAGGTATGGAGCGCAAAGGGTGTAAAAACGGTTATGCAGTTTTTGAGAGAACCGATCGTCCGGTTAAATTAATTCAAAAAGCTTTTTTGCTTCTGTAGACTGTGTGCAAAAAATGCTTTTACAGAAAAAATCGTAATTTTAAAAGATAAAAAAAAAATCAAAATTTACAAAAAAATTTAAAATTTCAAAAAATTAAAATTTTCAAAATCATTTTCAAAAAATCTAAATTTTGCCAAATTTCAAAAATATCATAATTTAAAAAAAATCTTACGAAAAATTCAGAATATTTCGAAATTTTCAAAGAAGTCGAATATTTTCAAAAATTTCAAAATTCTCAGAAGATTAAAAAAAATCGATTTTTTTTTTCAAAAAAAATCCAAAAATTTTCAAAGTTTGAATAAATTTAAAAATTATCCAAATTAGAAAAAAGAGCGAATTTCTTTAAAATTAAAACACTTCTTGATTATTATTTACTTACGCCTCAAATTTTTTATTATTTCATTCCTCGAATGTTTAATTACAGTACGGGATGTTCTAGCAATTTGTCTTAAGGCACGATGCCATACACCACTAGTTATTCATTTATTTTAAATATTATGGTCACATTTTAAGAAACAAATAAAGAAAATGCTTAATTAGATACAAATATATACTGTTTTACTTAAAAGATTATATTATTAAATAGTCAAGATAAAAGTAGTAGTATGATTAATTATATATTATGCACGTTTCGACACTGGATGTGTGGTCAATTTTTAATGCCATTATAAATATATATTTTATAATTTATCATTATATAAATGTGTATAATGATTAAGACACTAATAAATGTGTGCATCACGAGTGTTATCATATTACTAATAATCATTATTCAAAATTGTTATATAATGTATTTATTTTTACTTAAATGCCATCTTGTACAGTAGCAAATAAAATTTACTTCAATCACGTGTGAACCTTACGCGCACTCTTTTTTTATTTTATAACTCGTTTTTTGATATATAATTTTCTCGTGGTTTTTTGTCCATCATTTGTAAATAACTCTCTAAGATATTATTAAAATATGCTGTATGATAACACACATACAGTGTCGAAACGTACAAAATAAACAGTTTAATTATTCATTGCCTATTTGGCTGCAAATTAACATTTCAAGAATATATATTCTACTTACCCTGTTTTAAACCTCTTCATATTGTTCACGATATGATATTGCTGCCATCTCTTCGTAAAGTTGATGCCACCGTCTGGAAGCAAGTCACTGTTCCCGATATGAATGAATGTTAGATCCTGCAGCACCAGACCACTAGACAGAAACAATATTAATAGATACGATCCTTGAATTTATTTTTACAAAATTATTACTAACTAAATAAAAATAAACTCTCAAAATAATTGTGCTTTTTTATTCACTACTAGTTTCAACAATCAGATTACATTATAATCTATGAATTGAAAGTGGGAATAAATGAATTATTAAAAGAAACTTTGAATGCCTGAAGGATGTGAGTGAGTTTAGTTGATCCATAAGAGACGGTAGCATCAAAACAATAAACAATGAAATACAAAATCATTCATAAGTACAACAGTCACTTCAAGGATCACCTAATTTCATTTGCCAGAACACTACCAGAATCAGAATATACATTAATGTGTTAATTTCAAAATTACTGTCAATAATCAGATTTGAATGTTATTAAATTGTATTTTTAATTTTCCGTTAGGTACAAAAATATTTTTTTTTTGCATATCTTCACATTTCAAAACTTTCTGAACATTTTTACACACCTTGAAAAAAAAATGGATGTTTGTGTGTATGTATGTGAGGATCCAAAATTTGCATCCACTTGTATTGACGTAATTAGGAATTGATTGAATTGAATAAATGCAAAGGCAGGTCCAGTGATTTTGGAAATCCAGAAATAAAATTTAAAAAATGCCATTTGGCGGTCGAAAATGATCATTAGACATATCCACATCAAATCTAATTTTTCTTCTCTGAGCTTCTAAAACGATATGGTAAGTTCTAGCAATTTTCCTTAAGGCACGATGCCATACACCACTAGTTAAAGCCTATTTTTACTCCTAAAATTTCACTCATCTAAACTCGGAACTTCCCGTTCCGTAATGAAATATTTGAAGAATATTAAATGTTTCCAAATATATTATTATAAATATTGCAATTTTCATTATTCGTAATTTATAGTCAAAATAAAAGAGCTTATGACGTTTATATATGTTTACATGAAGAGTAAATAAACAAAACTTAATACAGCAGGGTTAGAATTAAAGGATCTTATCTCATATTTATAAGAATTATATAAACTGAAGTGCAAAGTTGAAATTATTTATTTCAAGTGTATAAATGAGCTTCAGAATTTTAGCTAGAATTAGAATTAAAATCCGAATTATTTTCGATATTCAAAAAAATTGTTTTTTGAAAATTAAAAAAAAACAAAAGCAATCGTTTCGTCAACACAAGCATAAAGCTTTTTGAATCGTTTTTTTTTTTAATTTTTTGAATATTTAGTTCTATATCTCCGAAAGACCTGCCTTTACCAAAAACTCAGCACATCTCCCTATCAATAGGAATCGAATGTTTTTTTCACCATTCAAATCGATTGATCCGTGCGCCCGAAATCGTCGACGAAACATTGTCTCCGCACACACACACACAAATAATTTTTTCTGAGATATGCCAAAATGCTCAGAAACCACCGAAACGTGAAGATATGCAAAAATTTTCATTTTCACTTTTTGGCCCATTAGTATAACCTTTACCTTACGGAGAGTTGAAAAAGAATTCAAAAAACTTCAGTTCTCAAAAAATATCATTATTTTCAGAAAAGACAATTTTTTAACTGTTTTCAAAATTTTCAAAAATGTTCAAAAAAATTCAAAATTCTCAAAAAAATCTAATTTTTCGTCTCTATGCTTCTAAAAATTAAAAATTCTCAAAAAAAATTAATTTTTCTTCTCTGAATTTGTAAAAGTTCAAAATTCTCAAAAAAATCTAATTTTTCTTCTACAAGCTTCTAAAAGATCAAAATTCTTAAAAAAAATCTAATTTTTCTTCTCTGAGCTTCTTAAAAATTCAAAATTCTCAAAAAATCTAATCTTACTTCTCTGAATTTATAAAAGTTCAACATTCTAAAAAAAATCTAATTTTTCTTCTCTGAGCTTCTAAAAATTTTAAATTCCTAAAAAAATCTCATTTTGCTTCTCTGAGCTTCTAAAAATTTAAAATTCTCAAAAAATCTAATTTATCTTCTCTGAGCTTCTAAAAGTTCAAAATTCTTAAAAAAATCTATTTTTTTTTCTCTGAGATTCTTAAAAATTCAAAATTCTCAAAAAATCTAATTTTACTTCTCTGAGCTTCTAAAAATTCAAAATTCTCAAAAAATCTAATTTTACTTCTCTGAATTTCTAAAAGTTCAAAATTCTAAAATATTTCTAAAAATTCTAAAAAGTTCAAAATTCTAGAAGGCAAATTGCTGGAACTTACCATCATAAGCTCAGAGAAGAAAAATTAGATTTTTTTGAGAATTCTGAATTTTTAGAAGCTCAGAGAAGAAAAATTAGATTTTTTGAGAATTTTGAATTTTTAGAAGCTCAGAGAAGAAAAATTAGATTTTAATTCTAAAAATTCTAAAAAGTTCAAAATTCTAAAAGGCAAATTGCTGGAACTTACCATCATAAGCTCAGAGAAGAAAAATTAGATTTTTTTGAGAATTCTGAATTTTTAGAAGCTCAGAGAAGAAAAATTAGATTTTTTGAGAATTTTGAATTTTTAGAAGCTCAGAGAAGAAAAATTAGATTTTTAATTCTAAAAATTCTAAAAAGTTCAAAATTCTAAAAGGCAAATTGCTGGAACTTACCATCATAAGCTCAGAGAAGAAAAATTAGATTTTTTTGAGAATTCTGAATTTTTAGAAGCTCAGAGAAGAAAAATTAGATTTTTTGAGAATTTTGAATTTTTAGAAGCTCAGAGAAGAAAAATTAGATTTTTAATTCTAAAAATTCTAAAAAGTTCAAAATTCTAGAAGGCAAATTGCTGGAACTTACCGTCATAAGCTCAGAGAAGAAAAATTAGATTTTTTGAGAATTTTGAATTTTTAGAAGCTCAGAGAAGAAAAATTAGATTTTTTTAAGAATTTTGAATTTTTAGAAGCTCAGAGAAGCAAAATGAAATTTTTTTAGAAATTTAAAATTTTTAGAAGCACAGAGAAGAAAAATTAGATTTCTCTGAGCTTATGATGGTAAGTTCCAACAATTTGCCTTAAGACACGACGCCACACACCACTAGTTAAAGCCTATTGTTACTCCAAAAATTTCACTCATCCTTTTAATAAAAAAAAAGATTCTCTTCTCTACTTACATGTAAGGTATGCAAGGCGGCTGACTTTCTGCCAAAGCCTGCCTGTAAGCCCTAAAGCTGGACCTCGAGTCAATCAGAGCACAGAATTCCTTCAGCATTTCCGTTGTCTGTTTGGGCCACTCCAGCCTGGTTATAGGCGCCGAATCCAGAGCACTCAGCAAAGCCAGATAGGAATTAAAATTATTCATTTTTCTAAGATGTTTCATGATTTTCAAAAACTTCACCACGTAACGTTCACGGTCTCTGGCCTCTGGTTTGTCCAGTATACGTGACCGAGCCCTGGTAAAGGATAGATTAAAAAACGATAAAGGATAGATTGAAATCTTGGTTTAATTATTTATTTATTTATTTATTTATTTATTTTAAATATATAGCCCACAGATTTCTACCAAGAGGACTCAAAAATGCAATTATTTTACATAATGAATAACAATTAAAATATATACAAAATTACAATGTATAGTTAGTAACATAAAATGCTTAACATAAAATTACATATAATGCAGAATGTAACAATATTATTTATAAACAGAATAAGATAAAATAATGAGATATTTGAAAGAAAATGAAAAGGTTAACTTGTGCAGATGGAGATTATTTGATTAGGTGAAGTGTTGTGAATATCTATTTCATTATTAATTAAGTTAAAGTTAGAGGACATAAGTAAAATTGGCGAATTTAAAAGAGAATTAGATTTAGGAGTAGGATAATTGAAAAATAACTGTGAACGCGTAAATAGCCTTGGAACATTAAAGGATAATTGATTAGGAATAAGAGGACAGTCTATAGAATTATTGCAAAGTTTAAATAAGAACATAATTGTACAGATAAATCGACGTGAGACAAGAGAAGGAATACCAAATTCTTTTAGTAAAGTGTTGTGGTCAAAGCCACGTTCAGGGTAAATTTTATATGTTTTATAATAAAGATATTTCAGAAATTCTCGCTGAACCTTCTCTATCGCATCAGAGTTGTTGATTTGATGAGGATACCAAATAATCGAACCGCATTCTAATTTTGAACGTACAATAGAATAGTACATGCAAAGAAGTGCATTGGTAGACTTAAATTGTTTACAATTTCTCAGTATCACACCTAAAGATTTATGTGCTCTATTACAAATATCAGTTATATGATCCGTGAAAAACAAACCAGAATCAAATAGAACTCCTAAATCTGAAATTTTATTACATCTATCAATGCTGGTGTTAGAAATTTTATAATCAAAAAGTATTGGAACGCGCTTATGTGTAAAACTAAGAATCTTGCACTTTGATATATTTAAATGTAATTTGTTATAGATACACCAAGAGTGGAAAGAGTCAAGTTGAGACCATAATAATAAGCAGTCATCAATAGAATTTATTTTGAGATATAGTTTGAGATCATCTGCAAACAATAAATGTGGACAGCTAATAATGTCAGAAATGTCATTGATAAAAATAATAAATAGTAGTGGACCAAGAATGGATCCTTGAGGAACACCTGAACTGATAATTTCAATATTGCTCAAGAATCCATTAAGATAAACAAACTGTTTACGGTTATGAAGATAACTCTTAAAAAAATAAATAAGTGAAGAATTAAGACCAATCATAGATAATTTAGTAAGAAGAATGTTATGATCAATTTTGTCAAAAGCTTTACTAAAATCAGTGTAAATAACGTCAACTTGTCCATTAGTGTCAAGATTCTCAGCTATATATATTGTTTAATACAAATTAAATTTGTTATCATAGAACGGGCAGGCATGAATCCATGTATTAATTATGAATCTTTTTACTTACCAGTAAGACATTTTATTGAAATGCTCTGTGAATCTGGTTAAATTGGGACTTCTCTCCTCGCACTGTTCTCGTGCCCACAAGAGTACTTCTGGTATTTCTATTTTGGTGTACAATTCAGCATCCAGCAAAGTCATCTGTTCTGCAAGGTGCTCCGATTTGAAATCTGTCAGAGATGCTTGACTAGTGAACACGGACTGGGCGCTCAAAGTCGTATAAGGAGTCTAAAAAAAGAAACAGAAATGTTATTTGAAATTACAATATTTTTTTTTTAACTTCCCATAGGGTAAGTTATAGTAATCGTAACAAAATCGACTAATGGGGTGCATCACATTGTGTCTTAAGGCAAATTGCTGGAACTTCCCGTACCGTGATTAATACTCGAGGAATAAAAATAATCAATAATTATTTTAAATAATTTCAAATGGAGTATTTATTATAAATACATTCTGCAAATTTATAAGTGCTTATTATATTGGGTGACGAGCGTATTCTACAAACAACTTATGTGCCTCAAATTACATTTTTTTTTAAATTTGATTTTTTTGTAATAATTTAGAAATTTTCAAAATTTTGAATTTTTTTTTAAATCGTATAGTATTTGAAAATATTACAAAAATATAATCGTAAAAACTTTGTTAAAAAAACAAAGTGTATAGTCTTTGAAAAATCAAAATTTATTTTTATTTTTTAAGAATTTCAAAATAATCTCAAGATTTTTTGTAAGAAATCGATTTTTTTTAAAATTTTGATGTTTTTTGAAATTTTTAAAAATTAGATTTTCTTGGCAATGACAAAAAACTTCGAAAATTTTAACTTTTTTGAATTTTAAATATTTTTGAAAGTTTTGATTTTTTATATTATTTAGATTGTTGTAAAATCATTTTTTGCACACCGTCTACTCAAGCAAAATATTTTTTGAATTAATCTAATCGGATGATCCGTTTTCACAAAAACTGCTTTTTTAAAAATTTACACAAAATGTATACTTATTGTTAAAATCTCTATAAAATATCTGATAATTAGATGTGCATATGTCTAACGATCATTTTTGACCTCAAAATGACATTTTTTTTACTTTTTTTACTGAATCTCCGAAACCGCTAGACCTGCCTTCCCAAAAATTCAATCAGTTTTTTATTTCGTCAATACAAATAAAATGTTTTTTGAATTATTCAAATCGGACGTTTCATTCTCTCAAAAACTGAATTAATATTTTTGGCTCCTTTTGCCCAGTATTTTCGAAACGGATAGACCTACCTTCGTCAAAAACTAATCAGCACGTCTCCTTTTCAATACGAATCGAATGGTTTTTGAATTATTCAAATCGGTTGATTCGTGTTTCCGAAATCGTCGATGAAAATTTGTATCCGCACACACACACAAATACATCATTTTTTTCTAAAATATGCCAAAATGTTCAGAAACCCCTGAAACGTAAAGATAAATAAACGATTCATGTAACTTTTACTCTACGGGAAGTTAAACTTGAAAATGTTTATATATCTATAAGTTTCAGAGGTTTCTGAACATTTTGGCATACCCTAGAAGAAATGGTTGTGTGTATGTATGTGCGTGTGTGTGTTTTGTGCGCGGATACAAATTTTTGTCGACGATTTCGTGAACACGGATCAACCGATTTGAATAATTCAAAAAACATTACATTCCTACTAAACATTAAATGCAGTGCGTTTGATTAAAAAAAAATCAAAAAAATCTGATTTTTCAAAAAAGGCATTTTTTTTAATTTCAAAATTTCTCAAAAATCTAATTTTTTAAAATGTTTTGCAATGTTTTTTTTTTAAATTTAGTTTTCGATACGGGAAGTTCCAGCAATTTGCCTTAAGGCACGAGACTAGTTTATAATTAAATAATATACCTGCAAATTTTGTTTAAGTTCATATTTCTCTATCAATTTCGACCTGAGCACTTTGGCCATCGTAAGATGCCCTGAAGCAATCAACTGGTAACAGAATTCTCGCAGGGGCTCCAGTGTTGAATCAAGATCTCCAGGACTAAATAAAAATGTAGAATTAAAATGATGTATTATTTATTATTTTATTATTACTCTTACGTTAATTCGCTGACAATTCTGACAAGCATCGAAAAGGCTTCTTTGGCTGCTCGCTGTCTAGCAGTATCAGGTTGACAAACCAGCCTCTGATGTCTGTAGCACAATTTCTGGACGAGCGCTTGTGGTGTTATGAAGGTACGATACGTTGTGAGGAATGCTTCCTGGTATAACAATTCTGCAAAAAAAAAAATACATGGATTTAAATTAACTACCACTTAATCTTATATATAAAAATAAATCGCAAAATGTGTTGGTAAGCGCATAACTCCACAAGGCCTGGACCAATTTGGCCAATTCTTTTTTTAAAATGTTCGTTGAAGTCCGAGGATGGTTCTTACGGCGAGAAAAAATCGAATAATTACCGGGAAAACCCTAAAAATAGCCCTTTTCTTTTTCACATACAAACGTTTTCTAATGAAAACATAGAATCAATTTGAGATTTATTGCTATTATATAAAGTTCATATTAAATTACAAGCACTCACTGTATACTCCTCCTAAACGATTATTCGGATTTTGATAAATCTTTCTGAAGTTTGTTAAGGAAATTTTCTAGGATGTATGTGATTATAAAGTACTGGGATGTATGTGCAATATTGCAGAAATAAATAGAAAAAATTGCAAAAAACGGCATGTCATTGTTTGCATTGAGAACAAATGAAAACTATCATCTGCCAAAAATTTCAATTTACTTATGAACCTAGACAATATTAGAATATGTATAATAAATTTATGATTATGAATAAGAAAAATGAAATGTCTACATTATTATTGCCAAAAAGCAGCTGAGATAAAAAAAATATAAATAATATAGAATACAGTTTATGTATGGCAGATTGAATGATACACAAACGAACAGGATTTGACAAATTAATTCACCTAACATATGAAATTAAGTAAGAGTGTACGTCTTAGGGGGCGCCAACACCAGATTCGGATATTAAATTTTCAATATAGTTTTTTTTTTCAAAATAATTCAAGAAATATATAATTTCTTTACATCCTTTACTAATCTTTCCACAATATTTTTAAAATACGTTAAAAATTTCACTTTATAACAACAAATTGGAAAATAAAGATGAATACATTCAATTCGGCCCTCACGATATCGATTAGGGGAAGTTTAAGATGCAATTTTGGATATCATAAATAATAAAAAATTAAATTAATTTAATCCAACATAAAGTATCAGTTTAATGTTATAGTTATGGTTATGTTATACCATTTAACAGACTTCAAGTTCCAATATAGTGTATTTAACATCGCTCAAATTAAAAATGTATATGCATTTTGGCGTAAACAGTAATTTAAAAAACAATAATTATTATTTTTAGGTAAACGGTAAATATTAGTATATTATATTGAAAAAATTGTAGACATGGGTACAGGACAACGTCTGTCGGGTCATCTAGGTTTTCAATAAATATTAAAGATAATAGACAATATTTTTATTTTCGACTTACCACCTTTGTCTTCTGCAGCAGCATGAGATAAAAAGCATAAAATTTAAATTTTATAAATAAATATATGATTTATTAATATTACAAAGAGTTTTTTTACCGTTCTTAGCTTTAGTGGCCAGCACTATCAATGCATCAGGATGTCCTCCTCGTATATCAGGACCTTCTTCGTCTTCCTTCTTGAGCAAAATCCAATTCGAGACATCCAATTCGTCCAAAGGATTTACTATAGGCTCTTGTGGTATTATCTGCTGATTTTGGCAAGGGACATCATCTGGTATTATTAGATCACTGTCGGAATTGCGGAGAAAAACAGAGTCCCTGAAAAAGTTAGGTAGAATTAAGATTTGAACAGATTCATAATATGGTATAAATGGAGAAGATTGAAGGGTCTCTAAATTTTTTACTGTGCTCCGATTTGCATGAAATTTTGGAAATATGCTAATATTATCCCTAAGTTCAAAAGTGAAAACAATTTACAGTCCGTAACCACCTCCGGGTTTCCCTTAATGTATAACTTTACATTGAGGTATTTTGCTTCTAGAAAGTTGTAAAGTATTTTCTAATACCTTACAATAAAATCATTTTCAATCCCTTCAAAACTCCATAACTCTTCCGAATAACCTTTGAGTTGAAAAAACACCTAGGAATATATTTTGGTATAGCATAAAAAGATTTAAGTATAAAGTAAATTATATTTTATTCTCTTTATATTAATTATCAAATTTTTAACACTTTTTTGATCCCTTCATGAAAAATTGTTTAAATCCTCAAAAATAATTATCACACATAAAATAACCCTTCTCAACCCTTAAAACTACCCTTAAATAAAAACAGTTAATATTTATAAATGATTTAATTATAAAATGAGAAATCAAAATTTATCACATATTCAAAAGATTTTGGCAACTAATACGCCTAATACTGCGTGCTTCCACTTTGCTCTAAATATAGACAAAACTAGTGGTGTATGGCATCGTTCCTTTAAGCAAATTGCTAGAACTTCTCGTACCGTAATGAAATATTCGAGAAATTTTAAACGTTTTCAAATATATTATTACAAATACTGTAAGAACTTTCATTATTTTTGCCATCTTGTTATATCTGAGCAAATCAAATGTAAATCATAATTCAATTTATCTCCAATACAAGCAGAAAGTTTTTTAGATCATTCAAATCGGACGCTTAGTTCACTTAAAAACTCGATTTCTATTTTCTGCATTTTTTGCTCCGTATTTCCGAAACGGCTGGACCTGCCTTTGCCAAAAACTAGTCAGCACATCTCCCTGTCAATAGGGATCGATTGTTAACTCCCCGTAAGGCAAATTATAGTAATCGCAAAAAAATCAAAAATGAAATTTTTTATATATCTTTACGTTTCAGAGGTTTATGAATATTTTGGCATACCTTAGAAAAAATGGATGTATGTGTGTGTGTGTGTATGCGCGTGTATGTGTGTGTGGGCGGATACAAATTTTCGACGACGATTTTGGGAACACCGATCAACCGATTTAAATAATTCAAAAAATATTCGATTCATATTGATAAAGAGACGTGCTGATTAGTTTTTGGCGAAGGCAGGTCTAGCCGTTCCGAAGATACGGGGCAAAAAGTGCCAAAACCGGTAACTCAGTTTTTAAGAGAACGGCGCGTCTGATTTTAATAATTCAAAAAACGTTTTACTTGTATTGACAAGATGAAGAACTGATCAAATTCATAAAGGCAGGTCTAGCGGTTTCGGAGATCTAATGAAAAAAGTAAAAAAAATGCCATTTGTCGGTCAAAAATGATCATTAGTAATATGCACATCAAATTATCAGATATTTTATAGAGATTTCAACAATAAGTATAAATTTTGTTTGCATTCCTATGGGTTCCGTACCAATGCTTATGCGTTAGACGGCGACGCGGCGCTTACGCGCTTTGACATTTTGTCTCTATGCAGTTAAAACTTTGAAAAGAACTTCAGAATTTCCAAAATATATCAAAATAAAGAAAACATTTTTTTTTTCAAAAAAAGTAATTTTTTGTCAAATTCCTAGTTTCTCAAAAATCAAATTTTTTCGAAGTAAAATTTTTTCAAAAATGTTAATCGTTTTTAAAAAAATAATAATATTTGGTACGGCAAGTTCCAGCAATTTGCCTTAAGGCACGATGCCCTAATGGCCTTAAGACAGAACTCCACTTACAGCTAGTTATTATTATTAACTTCCCGTAGTGTAAGTTATTGTAATGGGCCGAAAATCGTAATTGAAAATTTTTACAATTCTCGACGTTTTGAAGGATTCTGAACATTTTGGCATACCTCAGAAAAAATGGATGTGTGTGTGTGTATGGATACAAATTTCCAGTCACGTTTTCGGGATCAACCGATTTGAATGGTTTAAAAAACATTCGATTCCTATTAATAAGGAGAAGAGCTGATTAGTTTTTGGCTAAGGCAGGTCCAGCCGTTTCGGAGATACGGAGCAAAGAGTGCAGAAAATAGAAATCGACTTTTTGAGAGAACGGAGTATTCGATTTGAATGATCTAAAAAACATTCAATTAGTAATGATTGGGAGAGGTGTTTATTAGTTTTTGGCAAAGGCAGGCCCAGCCATTTCGAAGATACGGAGCTAAATATGTAAAAAATGGCAGTTTTTGAGAAAACTAAGCGTCAGATTCAATTGATTCAAAGAACTTTCTGCTTGTCTTAACAAAATAATTGATTTTGGAAAAATTTTTTTTTTTTTAGTTATTTGTATATCGAAAATAATTCAGATTTTATTTTTAATTCTGACTATAGTTCTAATATACTTTATAAATAATTTCAACTCTGCAATTCAGTTTATATAATTCTTATAAATATTAGACAATGTTACAATATTTATAATAATCTATTTGAAAACATTCAGTATTCCTCGAACATTTCGTTACGGTACGGGAAGTTCCAGCAATTTGCCTTAAGGCACGTTGCCATAATTGCCTCAAGACAGAATTCCACTTACAGCTAGTTTAAGATTTTAATTGACACAATTTTGTTCATTAAATAATTTTCGTTAAAATGTTTATTTTTGAAGATATTTACAAAAAAAAACGAAGAAAAATGCCAAAAATATATGAATTTTTACTAGACAGTAACTTGAAAAGTATTTGTTTGTTTGAAAAACTTTATGAAACCATTTTTTGAAATCACCACTGAGAAGAGGTAACATTCTCCCGAGGGGTGGCGACGGAGTCTAAATTATTTTCACTTTTGAACTTGAGAGTAAGATGAACCCAATTCCATAATTTCATGCAAATCGTAGCACAGTAAAAAAAATCCGAACCAAAACGCTCCATTGACTAGAGTATATATATCTTCTTACCTATCGCTCTCTGGCATATCAGACGCATCCGAGTACCTCTGCTCCTGCTGCCCATAAATCGACCTCTCCAACTCGTTCTGCTGCTGCAGCAGGCTCTGCTTAACGGTGGGGCTTGCAGGAGGCACCGAATCCGCAGAGCAGGTGCTGCTAGCCTTCGACCGTCTCTTTGGAGGCAGCGCAGGAGGAGTCACAGACGTAGTTTGACTAGAATTACTAGTGGTGCTGGTGTTGGAGGCTTTCGGCGAAGGCGGTGCTAGATTTGTAGAACTCTGCGGCGAAATAGAACTTATCGAGTTTTTGGGCGTGGAGCAGGTCGATATCTCGATTTCTGTTGCAGCAGGAAGCGTTGATAGGTGACGTGACGGCGGCGGTTGACTGTGCCGATAAGGTGATAAACTAGAACAAAAATGATAAGTGAAACTTCTGAACCATTATATAAGTGTCTTTTATTTATTTATTTATTTATTGAAGTAAAACTTCTTTAGGCGCGACATGGGTGTAAATCCGTACAAATGCAACGGAAATTGTTACGCCAAGCTGAAGTGAGAGTCATTCGCTCTCGATGATATGATTTCTATATGGGTCGATTTTTATTATCTTAAACAAACGTAAACAAAATTGAAATTCACAAGTACAAATATAAAAAAAATTATATACAACTACAACTATATTCAACTAAACAATAAAAACAATAAAATGAAACAATAAGTTTATTTTTTAAGCAATAATTTAACAAAAGTATATCTAATTTAATTAATTCATTATCACTATCGAGTATATTGAGTACTTTTCACCAAAAACAAACTTATGAGTAAAAAGACCAAAACTCATATAAAGATCATATTACATTATTATAATAAACTGTATTATCTGTGTCCGATGTGTTAAATTAGCATAATCTCTAATATTAAAATAAAAATAATGTAAAAAAGACCAAGAACTCATAAAAGATCATATTACATTATTATAATAAACTGTATTGTCTGTATCCGATGTGTTAAATTAGCATAATCTCTAATATTAAAATAAAAATAATTTTCTACACTAATTTAAGATCGGATTCTTTGTCGAGATAAATAATAAGTTACTATGATTGTTGAGTACTGTTATTCAAAACAATGTGATGCTTCTATAGTATTTTCAAACTTCGTTTTCGAAAAATAATATTTTATAAGAAGCAAAAATATTTAGTAATTATCATAATTATTATGTATAAAGTTAGAAAAAAATAAAGATTACGCAGAGGTAATCTGTATGATATAAAATATTTTGGCGCAAATATCACTTAAAAAATCGTTACATTTTTACAAAAGATGAAACAAACATCATTATCTATCATTCCAATTTTATTTATTGTAACACGATATGAAGCCCTTAGTAAAGCAATAAATATTCAGTTTAATGACGAGTTGAGATAATATTTGACATTTGTTTATCACATAGAATCACTTGAAGATATAGCTGTTTATGCGAATGTTTATGGAATTTAAAGATAAATCTGTTCCAAGAAATTTAAACTTTAGTGTATTATGTATCAAATAGCGCTTATGTAAATATACCAAAAATACCGGTATTTTTGGGGTAAATATCGGTAAAAATACCGCCGAAAAATCGAACGGTTTACCGGTAATTCGGTATACCGGTATTGCATTCCCTAGTGCGTACGTCACCGAAAGCGTGCTTTATAGCATCGGAAGAATATTTTATCCCGTCCCCCATAAATAATTGTAGAGCAAATAATCGCAAATAATGAAACATATGAAAAATCTGCGCTGCGTAAGAAATGTAAGTTTATTGAAGTAATTTGTACTATTCGAGTTTTTCGAGTTTACTACATACCTTTGAGGTTATTACTAAAATGGAAAATATTTTTACAAAAGACAGATACTACAGTTGCTCACAGAATGAAACTGTATTGCCAGCGAAATAGTCAAAACAAACAAGCAGTCAATAATGAAGTTCTACAAACATAATTACACGAAAAGTGAAATTGTGAGAACAATATTTCTTTATTGGAAATTTAAAGAAAGTTTACATGTTTCTCTTTTATGATGGCTTTGAAGACTAATTTTAATTTGTTATAATAGTAATTATAAATATTGATGCAGGTTCAAAGCCTTTTACAAACTCTGAAAGATCAAGATTACATTGTCAAAGAAAACAACTGCAGGAAATTACATCGGTTACTGTCAATTTATTAAAAAATCTTGAGCCAGGTATCAATTTAGATGTTAATGTCAACACCATTGACATAAGTAAGAATCTCTTTTTGCTATTTAATCCTGAAAAACGCTTCGACTATTCACATTTAAACATATTATTCTGTTATCTTTTTAGATGAAAGTACTGCTGTTACTTTTTCTGATACACCAACTACATCACGTCAATTGTAAATTAATGATTCTGCATAAATGTGACTGATAATGTGACAAGAACTGATCTTTTGCAAGAGTCAAATGAAATATTTGAACTTCCATATAAAGACTTCAATTTGTTTAGGAATGCACGAAAATTGTTTGAAAAACAATTTACAAATGATAGCTTTGGCAATGTATGTTTTGTGTGTGATCGACTTTGGTTTCAAAGTGACTTAAAAATATTAAATGAAGCTCAAAAACAAATTCTTAATAATGGTTTCTGAATATTGATTCGAATAATCAGGTTGGATGTCAAACTTGTCGAAAGGCATTAAATTCAGGTAAAATTCCCACTTTGTGTAAATTTAACGGGTTTGTATTTCCACCTATACCAAATTATCTGCTTAAACTAGATACTGTATCTCAATGTTTAATTTCACCTAGGCTATGTTTCATGCAAATTAGACGATTGCGACATGCAAATGGGCAACTTGGAATATTTGGCCAAATTAAAAATGTGCCTGTTGACGTTAATAATATGGTTAATTCATTACCTCGTAATATTGATGATGGTCATTGCATTAACGTTCACATAAAAAACAAATGATTCATAGATCAAGCTATGTGCAGGGCTTGATAAATAAAACAAATATAAAAGTATGGCTTCAATTTTGTAGGCAAGTAAGATATTACAATTGTTCAAAGAATGAGATTATATCGCCAGCGAAAAAGTAAAAAAATACGAGCAGTCAATGAATGTATGTTAATTTTAATTACACGAAGTTCTTCAAACACAATTATTACAGAATGAGTGAATTTGCAAAAACAATATTTGTTTAGGCGTTGTTTAACAAAATCCACTGTGTGAACAAATATTATAGAATTTATTAATCAGCAATTACTTTATTTCTCTAATGAAGGTTTGTTTCTGAATGCTCATTACAATGACAAACCGATCATGTCATATTTGAAATATTAATTACATTATAGTTTTTAAATATTTTACATATTTTTAATGCTATCATATATATATATATATATATATATATATATATATATATATATAATTTATAATTTATCATTATATAAATGTGTATAATGGTCGACACTAATAAATGTGTGCATCACGAGTGTTACCATATCTTACCAATAAACATCATTTGAAATTGTTATATGATGTATTTATTTTGACTTAACTTAAATTTGTTACGTTGTACAGTAGCAAATAAGTTTTACTTCAATCGCGTGTGATCCTTACGCGCACTCTTTTTTTAATTGTTTTTTTTTTTTTATTCAAGAACAAGCCGTAATCAATAATAATAGATATTATTTCAGGCTCTTGTCTTTTATCCCTTACCTCATGGTGGCGCTATGCGCCATATGATGTCCCTGCCGACTCGTAACGAATCCTGCGCCGGTGCTCCACTGCTCCTGCGCGGCGCAGGCGTGCACCGAATGCCTCGTGAATTCTCCGACGCCTCCTCCGCCGATGATGTACTGCGCCGAGCAGGCCGAGGAGGACGTCGTGCAGGCCGACATCGTCATACCGGCGCCTCCTGGTCTCGAACAGTTTCCGAACATCTCCATGTATGCCATTACTGTGGTAAGGACACGAGGTGAAGGAGGAAAGAAATAGAATACAATTAGTAAGGGTGAATTGTTAAGGTCGATTTTAAGAAAAAAATGTTATTTGTTTCAACATATTTTGTAAATGATTTAAAATAAATTTCAGCATGTAGAATTTTTCATCTTACATGTCCTATTTTATGAAATGATGTTAAAGTAGAGAAAGTTTCGAGTCTATGGTTTGTCCCATCAAGATGTAAATACAAAAAAATTAATTATCGTCATAGAATCTTTAAATATTGTTTTGTGCAGATAATATAACACTAATAGTTCAGTCATTATAGTAAGTTTACCTCGGAATACGGGGATACCCAGCTGTAAGTCTGTAAATACTTGTATATTGACACCCTAAAGTTGTCTCAAAACCTACATATGGTAGGGTGTCATTACCATATAGAGGTTTTGAGTCAACTTTAGAGTGTCAACCTACTAGTATTTACAGACTTATAGCTGGGTATACCCGAATTTCGAGATTCTTACCTAATTTAAGCTTAAATTACTGGACTATAACATGTGATAATTGGGAGCAAATAGCTGGTGCGTGTATTAACCAGAAGAAGGTTGAGGATTTGTTAGACCTGAACAATCGATAATTTCTGGTATATTAAAAAGGCAAACATTGCTGTTGATTTTTCTTTTGGTAAAAATGTAAAACTAAAGATATAGTAAGGCAGAAAGAAAGCAGAAGTTCGAAAAGTAAATAGTTAATTATACATGAAAGATAATTAAAGATAATGCATTTGAACTTAATGCTAACGATTTCATAAATTTATTGTTCACATTCGTTTAATACTCTACCCTGAAAATATGTTGAGACAAAATAAAAATAACATGTATATGATAATACATACAAATGATATGCGAGTCTCACATAAACACACATACACACACACACACACACACATATATATATATATATATATATATATATATATATATATATATATTAAAGAAGTTAGTTTTGATGTTGAAAAATATGAGTAAGTTCTTCAAGGGCAATACATCAAATAAAAGGCAAAAACTTAGAAATTAATCTTTAATTTTTCCAAACATTTCGACATCAGATTTTATGACATCATCAGAGGATATGAATATGGTCACATAATTTTGCATTATCATATATACACTAACTTGCTTTTTTGTTTTTTGTTGAAAAGTATTTGTGAAATATAATATGTTTTGCACGAAAATAGTAGTTAATGCGTATGACTCCGAGGGAAAATTCTCATTACCATATTTATATCCACTGATGATGACATAAAATCTGATGTCGAAACGTTTGGAAAAATTAAAGATTAACTTCTAAATCTTTGCCTCTTATTTGATGTATTGCCCTTGAAAAATTTACTCATATATATATATATATATATATATTATATATATATATATATATATATATA